CTTCCCCGCACGTATCACAGTAGAAAAAATTAATTGGGTAAACTACCTGTGCAGCTATGAAGACGTTCTAGAAAAGGCCTCACACATGCGTTATCAAACTGATTTGTTTAGTGTCCGAGGAGGGGAGGTGTTGTATGGGGGGTTACGTGACAGGAGGGGGAGAGAGGGAGGTAATTGGAGAGGTCAATGCACGGTAAAAATGTATATGAAAGATTATATTAGAATTATACAATTAATTGATATTGATAGAATTATACAATTAATTGAACTAGTGAAAATATATGCCGAATTAGTCAACATTCGGAGGTAAAAACATAAATAAATGAAAATTTCAAGTTAATATTGAACTGAACTTAGGAAATTAAATTTTTTATGAATACGTGATGTATTGAGCCTTTGGTATACTGGCAGTAGAGAGCATTCAAAGTGACAGAACAGGCTGCATGAATTACATCGCAGCGCAAATTTACCATAATTTAGTTTTTGCATTCAAGGCATTCTCCAGATGGTTGGCTTGTACAAGCTTTTGTTGCCTTTTTAGTGGTACTTTTTACTCTTCTCTGATATGTTCTTTTACTCTCTCAATTACGAGATCACTGAACTAATTCACTGGTAAATATTTGTTATATTTGCTCACAAATTGGGCCGATATAATGAAATCTAAACACTTAACGGGAAAAGCGAAATTCGGTAAAATGGCTTTTAATATCCACTTTGTTCTCTATACACGCTCTCATTACTGACTTCACACAGAATTTCAGACTTTTCACTGAAAAAAAATTCACAGAATTTCAGACTTTTCACTGAAACACGCAGTACTTTTTTTAGAAAAAAAGTCATATCAGGACCGGTACGACACGTCACGTCCGTCCTCTGTCACGGCTCAAGCAACACTCAGGCGGTCATCCTGAACACGCGTGCCACGCATGCTGTATATTGTGCATTGTTCAGAACACGCGTGGCACGCATGCTGTATATTGTGGTTTTAGGAGTTTGTATGCGCTTGTGTCTTTGTGTGCTTGTGTATTTGTGCGAGCGTTTGCCTCTTTGTGTGCGCTTGTGTCTTTGTGTGCTTGTGTATTCGTGTGTGCGCACGTTCTTGTGTGTACGTATGTTCTTGCGTGTGCGTTCTTGTGTGCTTGTGTACTTGTGTGTGCGTGTGCTTGTGTCTTTGTGTGCTTGTGTATTCGTGTGTACGCACGTTCTTGTGTGTACGTATGTTCTTGCGTGTGCGTTCTTGTGTGCTTGTGTACTTGTGTGTGCGTGTGCTTGTGTATTTGTGTGTGCTTGTGTATTCGTGTGTGCGCACGTTCTTGTGTGTGCGTTCTTGTGTACTTGTGTGTGCGTGTGTTTTTGTGTGCGAGTGTTTCCTTGTGTGTGTTTCTGAACATATGTGTACGAGTGTCTGCGTGTTTGTATGCTTCAACAATATTCAGAGGTTGTTGTGGCGCGAGTCCGCTGTACAATTTAACAATAATGAGTCCGAAATATTCAACTATAAAATACATTCATAAAATATCCACTAATGGAATATCAAATCTAGAAATATCCACTAACGGAATATCAACTAATAGAAATCCACTAATGGAATATCCACTAATGGAATATCCACTAATGTAATATCCACTAATGGAATAATAGGAATATACACTAATGAATATCCACTAATGTAATATCCACTGACGGAATATCCACTAATGGAATGTCCACTAATGGAATATCCACTAATGTAATATCCACAAATGGAATATCCATTCATGAAATATCCATTCATGATATAACAACTCATAAATTTCCACCTATGAAACATCCAATATTCATTTATTAAATATTCATTCATGGAATCTCCACCAACAAAGTCGTGCAGCGCGTGAGTGGTTGATTTCTTCTCGCTTCGAATCACCGACATGTGGAACAGCCTCCCCAATGACATGGTTGGCGCTCCGAGTATGAACGCGTTCAAGAACAGACTAGATAAAGCTATGGAAAAATATATGTTCAGATTTGAAATGCCTAGCACCATATCGAACCAGGTGGAAGTCTAATAGATAATTCAAACTATCGTCAGTCCAGAAAAGATCCGGTCAAATGACACGATTTTAGATCTTCTGTGAACAAGGCACGAAAAGTAAGAATCGGCGACAGCTAGGCCACATCAGGCCTACACTTCAGCGCCGACATAGCTATGTTATGCTATGTTAAAAAGAACGATTGGTCACCAATTATGTGGGGGATCAATTGCGACCACATTAAGTGTTGAACATACAGGTGTACAAAAATTCATGGTCCGCCATATTTTTGGCAAAGCATGTTCTTCTTATTTCTCAATGAAACAAACAGGCAACTTAATTTTTTGTTAGATTAGCTAATGGCCAAGAACTTCCATAACAATTCTAGTAGGCCGCATCAGGCCTACTCTTCAGCGCCGGCTTCCCTATTTAAACGTATTTATCCAATATGACCACCCATATTTTTAATGACGGCCTCCAACATTCGCTGGAAAGCTTCACAGGAGACTCGCAGCATTTCATGAGGGATCAAGTCCCATTTTCGTTTCAGTTTATACTTCAAACTATCCAAAGAATCATGAGGTGTTCTGCAGACCCTACTCTCTAAAATGGCCCATACAAAGAAGTCGAGAGATTTACATATATAAGGTTTTCTTGAGCCTTTGCTAATGAACGCTAGGATATGACCCCGAATCCAGTTTTGGGTCATGTTTGAGCCATGTGATGGGGCAGAGCCTTGTTGAAAACTCCATGGCGAGCTGTTGAAGTGTTTACTGGCTGCCCCAAGGTAACAATTCAGCTTCCGAAATGTATCGCTGACGGTTCAATGTCACTAATGAGGGGAAAAAACGATGTTGCAGCGAGGCAGCTATAAGCCTATAACTTTGGGATGTGACGTGAGGTTGATATGAAACGTAATGTGGTTATTGTTGAAAACACCATGTTTAATTTGAGTTGAAAAATGAGTAAGTTGACACGCGTGCTTAAGACCTGGCAGAAAAGTTAACTGACTAAGAAATTCACGTATTGTCTCAAGATTTTATCTATCACAGCTCCAAATCCTCCAATAAATGGAGCACTCCAGAGAAACCCAAACGGCCTGAATGCTGTCAGTTCAACAGTAACGAGAGGAGTGACTGGCCGGAAAAGCGCCAGCAGTGATCTAATGTAAGAATGTATTAATGCCTAAGATAGCGAGATGTATTATTTTACATCTCGCTAGTTTTAAACATATGAGTGGCTTGTAGCGAGATCCGCTATATACCATCTGAGCGGAGACTCCCCCAAAATCTCCTGCGGACTGGTTGTGCAGTTGGTGGTCGGGGTTCATGAAATTCCTGCAACTCCTTCACAACCAGCTCACAACCAGGCCTCACAGCCTGGCCTCACAACCAGGCCTGCCAACCAGGTCTCACAACCAGGCCTCACAGCCTGGCCTCACAGTCTAGCCTCACAACCTGGCCTCACAGCCATTCCTCACAACCAGGCCTCACAGCCAGGCTGGGATCGAACCCGCGCCAATCTTGGTACTCTGCTGAACTTTAACCACTGGGCCACCCTGCCCAGTTAACTGTCATGCTGGCAAGATTCCCTAAATTTTTCTTCTTTGTGTTACGTGCGGGCGACCAAAGTCCGTGTTAGCGACCTCTTGTTCGAGTGTCTTCGTTTCTGTTGCTGTTCACCTGTCCCTTGTCACTTGGGCTCTATGAGATGCTGACGCTGCTTCTTTCTAGCCAGCTTCAGTGGGCTGGATACACGAGACCTTCCGCCCCTTGTGGGTGATAGTGATAAATAGAAATTTCAAATGATTGAGACTTTTAGCCTTGCCGGTAATGTTCATTTTCAACCTCTGGTGCGAGATATTGAGAAGCTGAAACACTAGTAAAGCGACTTATTACTTCTACATTTAAAATGTGTGTGAAAATTGGGGCTCAAGGAGTTCAAACGCTGCCTTGTCATACTGTCGCTAGTCTATAGACAAGTCATTTAATTAATGAAGGGAAAAGCCACTATGCTGAAAAAAAACGAAGAAAAGTATATTGCAGTGCTCGGAACTTTTTCTATCCGTAACTAATGATCCAATTCATTTCACATTTTGAACGAATAGAATGAATTGCAAATAAAGACATCAAAAGTTCTCGAATCGCCTCCCACCCAATTGCATGATATTAAAAACAAAGATCGTCTGCGAAAAATTTGAAGAACCAACAGTTTCTTCGGCCGCCAAATACAAGAACGTATCGAATTGAGCGATAAGCTCAGTCTCACCATTGCACTATGAGTCAATATTGCTGTCGACTAAAATCACTCTAGAGTTGTGCCGCTATAGATGATGCTGGAGTTTACAGTAGAAGTAGTCGCGTCGTTAAAAAGTCCTACTTGATTAATTATTTATTCAACAAATACACTTGCTTCAATTCACAAAAATGTGGTGAAATTCAGACTACGGCAAGGTCTCTGAGGTTTCGAACTACTGACTGGAGTGTGACGATAAGCTGTCGGTTCATAGAACTTCTAACATAGATTCAACAAGGTCATAATCTATTCAATTCACCACCTAGCTTGAGAATAACTTTTTTCTCATGCTTGTTCAACAATTGTGTATGGTTAAATCAGTTTCTACAAGAAAAATAATAAATAAAAAAATCTAGCCGTACCCGAAGCAAAAGCCACTCGCGGCCGTGTGAGAGCCAAAACCACCCATAAACATGAACAATTTTTCTTATTAGGTATCTTTATTTTTTTAATTAACGCCGTAAAAAGTAAATATAACGGCAAATATAATTGTTACCCAAAATTTGCTAGTTGTTCCAGATTGTGTGACTTACCATACATCCTGAACGTTTACTATAGTTACTGAAATAATCACATATTTTCTAATGAACATTTAGAAAACTATTTGGGGTCTAGCAGCAACTCAAGCATATGTTATCGTCGACTTTGAGGCACAAGTAGTATAGCAATGAGTGAGAGTGACTTGTAGTATGTAGTGTACGTCAGTGGCTCGTCAGCTGCCAAGGTGTATAGTGGTCGTACGTAGTTCTTGGTATCCATTCATTAACATACAGGTTTTACCTATGTAGTTGAACGTCATTATCTGACTGATGCTTAAACATTGAGTTGAAGGATAAAACGATGGAAGTACCTCACTTCCTGTTTCTACTGATCATTGCTGGAAGTGAGTAACAATATTTCTTACAAACAATGCTTTAACTCTCGTCAGAAGTTTACCGTTTCATCCAGCTTGTCCTCTCGAAACTACACTACCCTACGTTCCTTATCAAAAACCTAGCTGGTAGCATAAAGGTTTGATAACACCGGGTACGGGCGCATTTACGAGTGCAGCTCCAACATGCCCTTCGGTTCATTCAAATAAATTCCTAGATTGAGTGGACCTTCTGAATTCTGATCGAGTGACATAGGAATTATACAGGATCAAGAATTCTATTAAGTGATTATTGCGGTGAACTTCTTGGTCCTACCTTTCTGCGGCTTGCATACAAAAACTTGAACACATAATATTACATATACTAGGTACTACGGTTGTTTACCGTACTATATTAATTTTTAAACCTTGTATAACGATATTTAAATTTAGGTATTTAAATTATATATGGCTTTGTTTGAAATTGTGTCTTATCGAAGAAACGCCTGACTTGACATCGGGAAATTGGTGAATTATTTATACGGTACGGTATGTATACGTATACGTACGGTATACGTACGGTATGTATTGTAAATATGATAACTCAACCTCAGGATAAGTTGCTGGAGGTTTTAGGCTAGAGTCTTTTAATTTTATTTCCCTCTTCCCACGCTTATCATATATTATAGAGACCCACTGTGAATGATATATTAAAATATTTGTTGAGTTATTTTTGCCTGCTTTGACACCCACTGCCTACGCTCGACACCCTTGAGATGCCTGCTAATTCTCTCGGTAACTCCTTTTATCATGAGTGACATAAGGAATAGTTTAGGTTGCTAATGTTTTAAATTCAGTATTTTTGCCAAGAACTCATGGCTACGAATTCATATGTCGTGTATATGACGCAGTTATTCCGAATCACGATGATAGAAAGTTCAGATTCTAATAAATAAAAATAATTCAACTTGGTCACCCACGTTGTAACCGTATGATAAATGAATGATCTTGTCCATGTAATGCTTCACTTAGTAGCCTGTCGCTGCCTTGAAATTTGACAAACAATGTTGAATTAACTATTATTATCAAATTGACTTGATTTATCGTATTTCTGTCTCCTACCTATCACAATTTTTTAAATGCTGTGTTGCATCAAATTCTCATAGTTAATTCAGGGACTAATGCGAAACGTTTCTTTTATTCGAGACCATGTGGCGAGAAAATTAGTGGGCAGCATCTTAAATTATAGCTCTCCTCAGTTCCGGGAGTTGCGACTGGCGCGTGCCGAACGATGAGAGAGGATGACCTTAGTGGTTGAGTGCATGATGGCCCGCGTAGGAACTCGTTGCGCTTATGTTTATTGAATTCAAATATTATGCGACAAATTAGAATGGTCTCTTTCATAATTCAGAAATAAAATTAATATTAGTTTTGACGTGGTTAACGCCTTCTTGTCTGCCTTGTGAGCTAGCCATGACCCATGATTGATTCTATCGCATTTTAACAACTCGTTTGTCTATACGTATCTGGCTGTAAGGTGCATTTAACAGTATCGTGCATCTTTCAAGCGGCAGCGGGTTAACCTGGGTGCCCTTTTAGTAAAATTTTTATATTGGTTATTATGTTTACCTATCGCCTCATTTTAGCGCTGTTTCACAATGAGTCAACCAATAAAAAGTATATAATATATTAATATCTACGTACTTCAAGTGTCTGGTGAGTTTTTTTTTATTAATTGCAGCATCGCTTGTAGTAGTAACATTGCAACATCGTTGGTAATTGTTAGTGATATTATGAATCACCGAAAATTCTAGCTGCACGTGTACTGGAGTTTTATAAGTTTAATTATGAATCATTATTTTGAAATTTGGCGTGATCATACAGGTCTCCTTTTCTTAATGCTAGCCTCATACCTGAACAGAAGTATGATTATAGCCTTATCCTGTTTCTGCCAATGTCCGCGTTCTGCCATGCATTATGATGACTTGCTTATGTTCATCGGTGCTACAACAACAAAAAAAAACATTATTATTGGTCTATTGGTCACTTGTACTACAAAAGCTGAAATTGACATTTGGTCATGTTACGTCGAGTTCGCTTACAGCTTACACGAAGCTATCCTACATGCTAAATTCCTCTGTATATTGTACATTTTATTTTAACGTTCTATCAACTAAAAATTAAGAACGCAGAAATGTAATTTATTATAATTTGGGAAGACTGTTTCCGTTTACCACTTCGCATAACTGCATTTGCTTGGTAATCGTTCGCTCTCAAAACACTCTTCGATGCGCCGAGAGCTTAGTCAGGAGGTTACCATCTGGTGGCCGTTTCACCGACTAACAGATTGACGTCTGTCGTGATAATGAGTGCATACTTGCTGTGTGTGAACAAGCAGCTTTTACTTCTTGTGGTTAAGCACGTCCTGTCTACTGTATTTGTTGGCCTAGCCATCCTGTTATTTTGCTAGTGGAATATAGGTAGGTAGTTAGTCAACCTCACCTTCCATTTTTCTTCGCTGACGTCATGTCCTGAACATAGGCACGGACGTGTTCATATCAATGGTTCTCAGAATAGTCGTGTCACTTCTTCAGGCAACTAAATCTAATGATGAGCGCAAATTTGATTTAAACTCCAATTTTATATCATTTTGCCGCTAATGAATTCTCTAAGGTCCATTTTTACGGTGCACTCGGCTAACATTTAGAAGACGTGCATTAGATGCCCAAACTCTCATGACACTTATCGTGCAAGACTTATCATGAGTGTAATCCACTTATTTCGTGCAGCAGCGTCGAGTGTGCAACTCATGGTTGGTTGGCTTGGAATAAGTTGGTGCCGTGTGCGTGATTTAAAGCCGCTTGTAGGAAAAAAAGAGAGTTGTGCGTTTGCCAAGCCTTGCGAGAGCCGATGTGTTTGCTCTCGCTTTGATGACTTTGGTTGCGATTAATCTTCTAGTGCTTGCTCTGAGCAGTTTCGTTCCGAGTGATATTTAGCGGAGCCCACTACTTTGTTTAGTTTACTCGCTATCGTCAAATTTGCATCCACGAAACATCTTGTATTATCGTATGTAGCTACTCTACTAATTGTCATATGCTAACGATGGTGTCATCGTCATTTAGTGCGTGAGTCATTGTCTATAAATCATGTCCATGCGTGATGCCGTGACAGTAAGTTATGTTTACTTGCAATTCTTCGTCTCTTTCCTGTCTTGGCATACTAGATAACCATGGAGACTGAACGAGCTCCTGTGTGAGGTCTGAATTGAAATTTGTGATGTAGTACTAAGTTAACTTGTACTTAGTTGTGTGAGACATGACAAATGTTTGCTATGATTTTTCGGCAATTTTTTAGTTCGAAACTCCAATGAACTGACGTCGTAATTTTATTTAATACATTTAAAGATATTTAAGAACACTGCCTAAGTCACTACTTTAATTACTTTAATCAATTATCTGCGTATAAACAATTTGTTTCAGGTTATCTTTTTTAATCTTGAAGGCATCTCTTTCCAGCTTGCCGCGCCTACTCTCTGTGGTGCTACTCATGCAGCGTCAAGGACCAATGCTTCAGTTTTGATCTTCGTGACGCGACGCGCTGGACGGAATGCGACCCCGGCACTACGCACTGTATCATGGAGCGCACAGTGAGCGCCGTGACAGGTGATTGCAACGAATCAGTCCCCAGTTATTTCCATCGTTTTCCATAAAGCACTGTGAGAGTCGTAACCAAATTATTACTACACCAATCTTTATTTTACGTTCGTTCTCGAAATGGAGTTCGGGACACTGTTTCCTAAAGTCAGTAGCAATAGTTCACTGCAAAGATAAAAGAAGGCAAACCGAATCTTCTGTCACATATCTAGTATGAGCGGTAAGAGCTGCATGACGATGAAACGTTATTGATAAGGGTGCTGGCGTGACGTCGCTCGATGTCACGGAACGTTGGGTTAGGAGGTTAGGTGTCGCAGTACACTATCGGGAATAGCTTCTAAGTCGTTAAGGCACTTAATTCTAACCATACCTGCTGAGTGTGCTATGCTGAGCGTAGACGACACGCTGCCATCAAATCGGTAAATGTCGAAATTGTTCACAAGTACCTGTTGTACGAAGCACTTGACTCCTAAATATTGTACGAATAACTAATAAATATCACTTCAAAATTTCTTCCATTAGGGTTATTACACGTATCATTGAGTTCATAGTTTTCGCATCGCTAAAATGTCACTAACTTGACTTGTTCCATCACAGGCGCCGTTGTGGAGAACAGGATGTGCGGTGGTCAGATTTACGTGGCCAAGAACCAGCCCCTTGCTGACGGCTGCTACGCCATCACTAGACAAGAAGATTCCCGCATCAACACAACTCGCTGTTATTGCTCCACTGATTATTGCAACGACGGCTCGGTGCCGTACACTCATCATGCGGTGGTCGCGTTCGCTGTCGCGGCCAGCATCGTGGGTCACCTCGTTACCGCCTAGGGAACGATCGATCAAAAATACTTGGTTGTTTTATTCAAGTAAGGAGCTATGACTCGTGACGGCATTGAAGGACATCTAAATTTTCGTACCCAAGTATTCATGAAATTTAATTTTATTAACTTTAATCCATTTATCACTGAGCACCCTCTTGCATCTTTGCTTCCTTATGCTGCCGATATACCTCAGTATTACTCATTACCTTTCGATCGGGCCCGCATACGGTAAATGTGAATTATGATCGTGTGCATGGACGAACCTGATTTTTTGCACTAGTGAATGTTTCAACTGAACTAGTCGCAGGTTCTGTAATGTTATGGCCTAAATGTTGTGAGTCTATGAAAATTTTTTATTAGGAATTCATCTACAGGAAATGCTCATTGGAAAAGGTTATTGTCAATCACTCTTCCTTGTGAATAATTTTTCAGTTCTTTATGCATTGTGTTTCTTATTATAAGAATGTAATTACATACCTGATGACACTCTTTTTGGGGCATCCACCGTTGTCTGCCCAAGCTGACGGCGGTAATTATACAATATCTTACATAATCCTTTCCAGTAATTGATTTGTGCCACTATGAATAGTGACTGAATCCTGCTCTTTTGTTCCGCATTAACTGATCTTAGATTACTCATCGTAACCGCAATATTTTTATCCACAATATTTCATGATGATCGAGTTTTAATTGTAGTTCAACCGTAGTTTTTCTGCTAATTAGGTACGTCGATCTGATTGACTGGGCGCATTTGAAAGAATATAATGTTGATGTTACAAGCCACCCTCAAAGTTTTCTTATTGTAGAAGGGTCGGCAGTTTATTTGTACTTTAGCAAAGTGCCCGTCCATGTGATATTAATGTAACGCGATATTATTTACTTCAAAAAAAGAGTACTAACAATAATGGGTTTCAATTTCTTTTAGATGGAAATCTGAACATTGGGTTGACAGTTAAAGTAGAAACGGCCGTAAAATGTTTTCCTCAGAATTCAAAATGATGACGAGACAAACAAATGAGCCGAGGAAACGTTCAAATGAAAAAATGCTTGCCCAAGTTCACTTGTAAGCTTGCCAATCTATTGTGAATGCAAGTAACTCACTGCCATATTTCCCATTTGGAGGTAATGACAAATCCATTCGTATATATCAAATTTAAAGTTAACAGCAGGCATACGAGACAACATCATTTGTTTATAAAAGTAGTGTCACAAACCGCTGTAAAATGACGGTCTGCAACCAGAGGCCTCACACGACAAATGTTGACTATGTTATTAACTGTACAAGGAACCTGATGAACACGTTCTGCTATAGAGAACCACTAACGCCAGCTTATTCTAATCATGATTAAAAACTCGCAATAAGGATAACACACGGAGCAACTTGTGGCAGCCATAAGTGCCGCCTCTACTACCGGCAAGTTAGCTCAGGCATGAGGCCAGAAATGACACCAGATGTAGTGTCTGCAACAAGTTACCCTCTTTACGCTCACGTTCGAGAATCTGTTACTTTATATTACAGTTGAGTTACAAATGTCAATCGTGAAGACTGAGGCACCCGATTTTTATTCGTAACCTTTACCTAATAATTAATAAATTTGAACCTAAAAGTTGCTATTTTCAATGAGAAAATCCAAAATGGAATAGTCAAGACTAGAAACAAACTAATGATTTACTTCGTTTCGTTGCTCAACCCAAACAGATCAACTCAATTTTATCTCTTACTACTTAAGAAATATCTAAACATAATTAAAAATAAGGAGATTAAAAGTTAACCAGCAGTGAGCAAATTAAAAATAGGAATCCATATCACATACACTTTTCCTTAAACTAGAATAACGAAACGCACGTTCCAAAGCTCCAGTTTCTCAAAATAGTATTGAAAGAAAGATCGAACAATTTTATAACAACCTACTACAAGATAGATTATTTTCTATCTAAATAAAACCATCCCGTCTTTACTTAAAACCACGCAAAGATGAACACTAAGAAAATGTGGGAAGCTGCGATACTTGATTACGACGAATACAGACATTAATCAATTCAATATTTAAAGCGCAAAGCAATCGAAGATTAATTAGAAACAAGATGCAAAACATCAGTCAAGTCATTACTGTCTAGCATACATCGTGAAAGGAAGCACAGAAGAAGAGCCAATAGGCATTTTACACGTTGACAGTGAGCATCTCAAGATCTCTGAGTTCAAGTATCAATATGTTCTCAAGCATTTATTAGTTTGCTGCGACTAAAGAAAGTAGGTCCATTTTGCCGAGTGTTTCATGAGCACCTTGCAAAGATCAGAGCTAACGATTCAGTACGTCATTATGTTTCGACGGGCTACGCTTATTTCAAGTTTTTTTTTAATTTCAGCCCGCTAATAAAAGCTATTTACTATTCAATTATTGAGAAAGTGTCGTCTTATGAAGTTCATCCAAGAATAACATCATTTAACTGAGGTTCATACTGAACAAGAAAAGTGGATCTAAGCAAGGAGAGCGCAACATCATCATTGCAATGGACATAACATAATAACAAGGAATCAAATTACCTAACTCGTCCGAAAAAAGGTCACAATTTAAATAATAAATCAAAGTTGTTTTCTAAACCGTAATGACGAAGCTAGGCTAAAGTAACAAACAAGACTGCAGAACAATTGATGGTACAAGACACAGGCACTAACTGGACATTGTTCAAACCGATGCTCGAGTAGGATTGTGACATCGTACATTGAGTAGCATATAATTGAAATCTTAAACTAGACCTGCTGTCATTTTCTGAAGTCTGGTCTGGATCCACAACCATTGGTAAACTTATGATCACATCACACGAAACTGCGGCCACAGTTCTTTACAATCTATCGAGTCCAACGGCAGGATAATCTGAATGTAATAAAGTCCCTACGTGATGTACATGGTGCAACGGCTTATTAAGGCTCAAATTTGAAACGTAAATGTACCTGCATGTCAATACCGAACGATTTAAGCCGGTACAATAAATTAATAAAGTTATAGAGAAATGGAGGTAATTTATAAAGGTATAAATCCATTTCAATTTATCGGGCAGAAGCAGTTGGATACAAGTTCTAAGTTCTCTGTTTTTATGAATTGCTACTTCAGGAATTTTTCGCTTGCATCTGAGCGAAGCATGGGTCATAAAAAAGTATAAAATCTAAAATAATTGAGCCCCATCTAAGAAGCTCTTATGATTTCGAAAGATTTCTATATAAATAAGATACGATAAAAATATAACGAGCAACATTCATACTGCAGTTTAACGAAAAAGCAAAAGCGCTAGGAGTTTCTATTGATGACGTGAACTGCTCGTGTCTGTAAATAAATTCAAATTTAAAAAAAAGTCATTTCATCAAGACAAAACGGCATCGAATAAAAAATGTGCAGCTTTTCACGTGAAGTTTTTTACAATTTGAATATATTAGCAGTACATGAAGAGGTAAATGAAATCGGAATTTATGAGAAAATATTCTTCGCGATGTATCCGATAACTTTTGGAGAAAATGAATTTAAGGTGAATTTAAAATTGGCTTCAGTAAATACTGATATTAAATCAGCCATAATGAATGGTCGTTCAATGTTCAAAATAAGTAGCATAAAATATCACGAAAAATATAATTAAAACTCCTAGATTTCGCGTCACGAATGATTGATAAACTAATAATAGCAGCGAAATAGTCACGTACAGGCAAGGCGCTTCACGTCACCATTTAAGGCAAGGTGTAAAGGCAATGTAACCAGTGAGCTCGTCTCCAGAGATATAAAAAATGTAATCAAAACGCGTAGATTCTAGTTATACCCGCATCTCTTGAGATGTCACGTTGACCAGAACACAGTGACCAGCACAGCACAAACTTTCGTCCAGTGCCTTTTCATGAAGGCCAACTAAGTTAAGGTGCGTGTACTCGGGGGCAATTTGCGGCAGCAAGTGACTGTCACCAGTTTACCGGCCACAAAGCTATAATACGAAACCCTTTATGCCTTTCAGCATACTGAGTGTCTTTAGGTCTACAAAAAGACAGGTTAGGTATTAATTTCAGTCTTTAGCTTTATTTATTCGCATACCAGATACCCCAATTTCACGATTCATTCGTGAAGATCGCCAATCAATCATTAGTGGATAACAACACTTAGAACGAGTCTAACGAGTAAATACTTATAAACGAGTCTTACTCGTTGCAATATAAATTGATAGATATCAAAGAAGTTTCAAATTTAGAAATGAACCTTATACAAACTTGTTCAACGTCAAGTAAAATTGTGATTGAAATAAATAAAAACGTACTAAATTTCGATAAAATATTGCTATAGACGAGAATACTAAATTCAGATAAATATTCATTATCACTTGAACGGGCGACAGTTAGTTTTTCAAACGATGAAACTAATGAGCTTACTGCTCGCTAGATCTTGTGGCGCCCACAGCTGCCCCGTACACACGCACCTTCACGCTCTCTTTTTCCAGTCACGGAGGTAGAACTCTAGAGTATCTTGTCTTCTTTCACTGACAACGTCAGGATTTGAATGCCACGCGTCAATTTTTCTGAAAAATAAATCACAATCTGTACTATTCGAAGCGAAATTTTTTCTGCATATGAAGTACTGTAGTTGATTTTTAAAATCAAATTCAGCAACAAAAACATTCACATCCGAGAAAATTTTCTTGTCACGTAAAATGAAACAAATGTCGAGGATATAAGATGTAAAACTTGACATTGTTAAAAAATGTTAAAACATTGACAAACTCTTTCAGCATTAAGGGATCATAGGAACAATTTATTTTGATCCGTCCATTCCAAAAAATTCTAAGTCAAATCCATCCTCAAAGTCAAATTAGATTGATATTAAAGACAGGTGTTAGCCAAACAATAAATCTACAATGACAATGGCACACAATTTTCATATTCCCAAGACTAGTTTGAAAAATAAAATGTAGCCTGTAGAAAAAGCCTTGAATAAACAATCACTCTAACGTCTGTGAGAACCGAACTCCATAAAAGTCTCAAAAAACCACGCTGATCCCATAACAGTGTTAAAGAACCCACGCTGATGCCCCAAAATTTTTTCCAAGCACCCACGCTGATACCACAAAATTTTTTCCAAGCACCCACGCTGATACCACAAAATTTTGTCCAAGCACCCACGCTGATACTAGAAAAGTCCGTCAAAGAACCTACCACTGAAGCGCGTGAAGGCCGCAGGTTTGTTTTTCCACCGCACGCCGACGAGGTACGCGGGCACTCCCGTCGCGGTGATGAAGAGCCCCATGCCCACCTCCCACGGCCGCACGTAGATCGGCAGGAAAACAAGGAACCCGCACACCAGCAGGAACACGATCGGGATCACCAGGTTTATCTGAATAGGAATGTGAGTGACTAGGCTTACTTGTTCAGTAACTCACATATCTACGATAATATACAGAGCGGTAAGGCATGACAACAGGAACAAAATAGGAAGTTTTAAAGACTTTGGACTGGAAACATTATTCTAGTGCCTCAAGGGACACAAATATTAATCAATTTCTTTGCAACAGAACAGATAAATTGGTCATCAATTCTCACTTGAATCTTCCCACTTTTGGGCCAAAGATTCTCACCTTGATATGTCTCTCTCCATGAGGGACTCAAATATCAACAAGTATATTTCCTTAAGAACAGCTAATAAAGGTTATTCATTCTCAATCTAATTATCCCACTTGCTAACAAAAATTTCTCACCTTGACAGATCTCACCATTAGGAACTCAAATATCAACGAGAATATTTCCTTGAGAACATCTAATAAATGTTATTCATTCTTACTCGAATCTTCCCACCTTCAAACAAAATTTTCTCACCTTGATAGGTCTCTCCATGTCGGGCTTTTTCCAGCGCATGTAGAGTAGGCTGGCGATGCTCGTCAATATAAACATACTCTCGACGAAGCTCGCGTACTCAATGAGTGTGTAGATGTTGGTCGTCGACAGGTAGGCTAGCGACAGCAGGCCCTGCACAGTAAAATGTCTGCTTATCCAGCCCCTAACAATATTCGAATAAAATTTCATTACGCGGATTATTATCATATCTCGTACTAATTTTTCAGACGATTTTTTTAAATCACTGGTAATGGATAAATTCAAGTTGTAGTTGATTATACGGTATAACGACTCAAGCGAATCATGGGCAACAGTGGTAATGGTGCTCTCAACTCGCATTCAAGATCATTATTGAACGTCATCATGTAAATAGTTTGAATCAGAGGCAAGTTCAAATTACTGAGCTCCTTTTATGTATAGTTGTAGCTCTGAACTGACAAACAAAATACTATAAAACAATGAATAGAGATGGCTCTGAGCGCTGGAAACAGAAAGTTGCATCACTTCGGTGCGCGCACAGGTCTACTGTACTACAGCTCTGCAGCGACTCATTAAATGCGATTGGTGAAACAATTATTTGATTAGTTTCCATCTGATAATAATGGAATAATAATATACGTTTAAAAATTACTTTTCAAAGACAACACTTCTAAAGAATCCAGTGTTTCCAATGTTACAGATGTACAATGAATTTATAATTTTATTTTCGAATATTAAAAAAATTACCTTTCAAATTTTTGTAATATTTAAATTTTTTTCAAAATTGTTTATTCTGTCAATTGATTCATACATTGCCTCTAACTTCACGCAAGTGTGCAAAATTTCAGATCAATTGGACATGTAAAAGTGTGACAAATATCAATTATAAGATTTGTAGCTGACAAAATTATTTTTTCAGTTTTTTAATATTAAAAAAAACTATTTTTAAAGTTATTTATTATGTCATTTGATTCATGCATTGTCTCCAACTTTACGCAAGTGTGCAAAATTACAGATCGATAGGATAAGTAGAAGTGTGTTAAATTTCGAATATAAGATTTGTAGCAGACAGACAGAGAGAGACAGACAAACAACAAGAAGTGAAGTTAAAGAGAAGTGTTGTAAAAGAGAGCTAAAAGCGACAACGGTAGAACAGATGATAAATAACAGAGCATTTAATGAACCCACTTGATGTGATTGTATTCAAAAGGAATATAAAAAACGAATTGTACAATAACTGTAATTGGTGAAATTTATTTTAGTTTACGCTGTCCCTAAATGTTCTTCAAATACGAAACGTGAGAACGGTGCAGAAGATGATAAATCAATATCAATTATTGATTACCGAAGATGTTCTCAGTTTGTTAAAAATGACCAAGAATATGAGGTGAGAACGGTACAGTAGATGATAAATCTAATATCAATTAATTATTCCTGATCTTTGATTACTATATCCTATAACAATATTATATATATTGTATAATATACCAGGAATATAAGAGACGTGGCCGGAGTATGGCAAGGGTAGTTGATGAGCGCCAAAAAGTCTGGGAAGTGGCCTTGTCTTGCGCCAACAAAACATAACCTGGAAATAACGAGCAAATGTCACGAACCAAAAACGTAAATTACTGAGACAAAATTGTCAAGAATTGGAACTTTTTATAACTGAGACCATCTGTAAAAGGGAAGACTAAACACGCATAAGTCAAATGGAAAAGTAAAACAATGCTTCATGTTAATTAATGCGATACACTACGCAGTTCAAACACTTAAAATCAGTTTCAATGCCATTGATGCAGTAACGGTGTATGTATAAATTGAACGCATTCACACCCTCGCATGAAATAAAAATTAATACTCGTGATACGTGCTCTGAAACTGTGCTCATCTATATAATGGTCAGAAATGTACATGTATCTTGTAATAATTTAGAGAATGCTTAACTATTTTGTACAATTAACATAGACTTTAGTTCCATTCAAATTCAAACCACTGCAAAATTTGTATTTAATTGTCTACCACTACCGTTTAGAAATGAAGCATTTAGCCGTTCAATAAAAAATATCCCAGTAGTGGCACTCATGGAAAAAATATAACTCAGTACTCACTGAAGTGAGTGACAGAGAGCGCATTTTCTCGTCGACGAAAACGTTAAGTCACGGACGGACAGACAGACGGACAGACGGACGGACGGACATGGCGAGCACTTTTTTCCATAAATGAAAAAATGCGCTAAAAATGTACATCTTTTTATTTAATAGAAAACCATGAAGATCGACAAATTCGATAAATTCACTAGGAAAGTTCAACTAAAACCATATTTTTTTAGTGTGACAAGTAAAGAATAAATTTCAATTAGAATGAGTTTTCGAAAGACTGACCGAGAAGACGTCATGATGTGCACGGAGAGCCCGCCCAGCGCAGACAGCGCCACGAACAGCGGCATGAGCCATGCGCCGTGCGAGAAAAGCTCGTTTGCGAACGTCTGTGGGGCACGAGTCTCATTACTCATTAGCACCAGTCTCCTTACGTGCACTTATCTCATTATACTCAAAAGAACTCATCTCGTTACTAACTCTACTAACTCGCACTCATGTCGTTACTCACAAGCGGTGATCTTAATACCCACTATAACTGATCATATTACATACTAGCATTGATCTCATTACTTACTACCATTCCAATCATTGAAATTTACTTTACAAGGGTTTAAATAAGTTAGGTTATCGCTTGAACTAGGAAAGGGAAACGAGTATTGTTTGCCAAGTTACTAGTTGGTTCCCAAGTATTGTTAAGAAACAAGTATATCATATATCATAAACATATGTATATATCATATCATAAATAAGTTTATATATATCGTATATATCATAAATAGAAGTAACGAACCACAGCGATGGCGTCGGAGGAGAGCATCTCCGTGGGGCTGAGGACGGCGAGGTAGGCTACATTGGCCAGCACGTAGATCACCGTCACCAGCGGCAGCGAGAAGTAGATGGCCCGCGGCAAATTTCTGAAGCATAAGAAACAAGGCTTAACAATTCGAGAACAAAATTATCGAGCACAAAAATTATCAAAGATAATAAAACTTGCGTATCGAAGGTTCTAACTTAATAAAAAAAAAGCAGAAAACAGCGAAACTCGGTTATAAAATCATAGTTCCGTTTTACACTACAACCTAATATGCCTAGAATGAACCTGTCCGTGAGTGATTCTATCAAATTTAAACTTTATTCTCATCATGAAAAGCTGGTTGCGAACAATTGGAGTACTTCAGAAATATTGGTAAGTAATGCAGGAACTGGTAAACATTAAACTATAATTTTTTCGAGAAGTGAAATGTATTTTCAGCATCAATACTAACCAAAACAGTTGACTCAAAACCAAAATATTAGTTTTAAATGTTTATATAAAATATAGTAATATATTACACGATACGTGAATTCACTTTGATCATTTAAATCCAAGGAAGCTTTTATTGTAACGCTGATCTCACACAACACGCGAACCTAATACACCGTAAACGTCCTTGAATAATTCTTGGAATTGATAGTGGGACCTTCTCTACTAGACCCAATACATGTCCGGTAACAGAAGTAGCACTTTATGTCTGGATCTTATCACCTTATGTCTGTGAAAAACGAGCAGGCCGGCGGGTATCGGGCGCGCGGCGGGAGGCAGGTAACACAAAGGCCAATAAGACTAAATTCGGTGTCTGAATTCTAAGTTTTTATTTCGGAAAGTTAAAGTTTTTCGGAGCGTTTAACACTTCACTTATTTCATCACGATGCAAGTTTGGTTGAAGAATTTACAAACAAGACTCAGATCAAAATAAAGTGGAGCAATTTAAAGTGAAGAAATTCACGAGCAAAGTTCAAACGACGTACGAATTTGTTTACGATGTCGTGGGTATAGTAGCAGCCCACAGTTTTAGTGTTCAGGAAATAAAAGATCAAATTAAAACACTTTATTACACACACATCTCATTAAGACGGTACTGTACTTGACACACGAGAACGTAATACCAGTTATATTTCGAGGGCTTGATAAATGGGCAACAATTAACCTTCCTTTTACCGGGGTATGTTTCACGAGCGAGGCACATTACCTACACTGCGTTACTATACATTACCTCATACTATTCATTACTATCCGCAATCTCTTAACTCGATTCTAACGCTCTCTAAAACATTCTTACATTTCTACTTCTCATCAGTACAAAACTGACAGCAAACATATAATTGGCTGAAATAATACAAATTATACCAACGATGAAATACAATTTATACCAAGACATCTAAAACGATCTTACTTGTAAGGACTCTTAAGTTCCTCGGTCATAAAGTTAAGGTAGTTCCAGCCGGCGTAGGAGTAGATGCCGTTGTAGAACGAGACCGCCACCTGACCGGGGTCTGTCGTGGTGCCTTTAAACGCGTCTTGAAAGTTCTCCGTGTGGCCTGACAAGTAGAGGCGAATTGATGGCCGTGTAATTTGATATTTCAAATAACATTAGTAGGTACGCCTGGTACGGTACATTTCCACTGGCAAATAAAGCATGGATACGAAAGGGCTAATATAAAAAACGAAGATAATAGAAAGAAATTGATCTTGTCAACATTAGTATAATAATGAATGCAGAAGGAAATGAATAAAAAATTTTAAAATATTTTAGCAAAGTATCTATAGTAGCATTATAATTACAGCTTTGTCTAGCAGAATGTTCAGAGGTTACTAAAGTCAATTTCGGGCATTTTTGGACAAATAATTTAATTTATCTGTATATTAACCAGTACCTATATTTCTCTTAATTCATTTTTATAGGGAAAACAGGGTAGGAAGAATTTTGGCTCAAAATATCAATAACGGTAATTTGGAAGATCAAAAACGACCCTTTCAACGTTGCAGTTGTTCAGTAATGTAATGATTTTCAATGCTCCCAAAGCAATAAAATTCATAGCAAATTAAATCCATTACCTATCAATTCCATACGTTTGAGAGTGGCTCCTTTTTTTTTAGCCTTCGTTTGTGACCTCACTGCCGAAATTGATTCCTAGCTTTAATAAACGGGGCTTCGTATGCTTGTTCACATCAAACAATAAACAATTCTGTATTTCATCAAAATCACCATCAATTCATCTCTGTTCCAAATTTCGTCACCATCACAGTAAAAATATACTACGCATGATGCCGAAAATTTAGAGGCAGCATTGTGTAAGGGTAAAAGAACACACTTTGAGGCATAAATGTCGATACTGTTGCACCATATAGCACACAATGTGAAGACAACTCACATGCAGGGATTTCTATGTGAAAATTTGATGAGGTTGAATTATTTTTCCTCACCTTTTCCCAGGTGAATCATGCCAGCCACGATGATCATGAGCAAAGCTGCGATTTTAGTGACCATGAAAACGTCCTGCAGTTTCGTGGTGATGCGCACGTTCCACGAATTGATGAACGTTAGCAAACCTAAGGGAGGGATTTCATTAAGGAGTTTAATTATTTTTTTAATTAATTAATTAAATTAAATTAATTAATTAAATTAAATTAATTAATTAAATTAAATTAATTAATTTATCTGCACAAATCGTGGGCGGCGGCAACTAAGCAAGGATAGCAACACTGTTCAGAATATTAGAAGATAATGTTTTCGTTCATAGTTTAAGAATTTTTTTGTTCAGTTTCAGAAGGAAAAAATATCAATTAAATAATCAAAATATTTAATAGGACGCAATCACAGAAAGGATAAACCGCTGTGAGTATTCCTGCGTAATTTCATACATATTAAACCAAATTTTTTTTCGAAGGAAACTTGAATGTAAAACGCAAAAAGAAGGACAGAGAGATTTTCTGTTGTTATTAATCACTGATGACTAACATGATATGAGAAGATATTACTTAGGAATAGTCTTTCATTTAATATAATTACTCACATATAGCGAGAGCAGCGATGAGTCTGATCGCGTTATCCGGCATTTCACATCCTGGGAAGAAAGGCTGCAGCACGTAGTTAGCGAACGTCAGCGCCATAATTGCGTTTGTCGTAGGCCTGTGACCAATTACTTCAATAAAATAAGGCTAAACATTACACTTAATTATTAAATCTGTGTCGAAGCATCAAAAAATGTTAAGAAAACATATTTTCAGAAATATACTATAAAAGGGGGCATTCTTCTTAAACATTAAAAGTACAAACTCAGCACGAAAGAAGTAGAAACGCATAAAGATTTTACAAAGAGATTTGAAAATGATATGTGAATGAAATGATATGCCATCTAGCTATCAGATTTCAATATTAAATAATATCGAAAAATTAAACGAAACTATAACAGCTTCCTCTAATCGGCTTTATAACAACACAAGTCACTAATAGTAAAATAAATAGATAATGGAGCGGGCTGAACTGACACGAAAATAAGATTGGCGTCCCACAGAAAGAGGAATGCGGGAAGCGAGCCGAATCCCTCATTGATGTAGGCATAGTCCCCCCCGGACTTGGGGATGGAGGTGCCGAGCTCGGCATAACAAAGGGCGCCCACCATGGACAACAGCCCGCACACAACCCACACGATCAGCGACATGCCTACGCTGCCCGTCGTCGCCAGCACGCCCTTCGGCGATACGAAGATGCCTGCCATCGTGACAAGAAAAATGTCATAGTTAACAACGTAATTGAAGAAGAAACACTAATAATGGTAATTAAACACTATTTGGAGATGAAATAAACAAGAGAAAATGAGATAGGTAGTTTAAAACGGTGACAGGAATGAGATACGGTACTAATGACGGTAGAAAGAAACTTGCAGTGATGTATACATAAGAAAATGTGATTATTAAAAACGTAATTGAAGAAGAAACGCTAATGACGGTAATTAAACACTGTTTGGAGATGAAATAAACAAGAAAAAATGAGATAGTTCAAACGGGAACAAGAGATTAGATACTAATGGATTTAGTTGCTAGTAGATTTTTTACAGATGAAATAAACAAGAAAACTGTAAAAATCCTGATACGAAAGCTGTGTCATGCCAGGACAAATATTTTTTAAAAAAGACTTGGAATGACTATTTCGCACGAATGATGAAAAAAAGTTTCTATCAACACGAAGAAATGGATGCAATAAAAGTAGTTCACAACTTCACAGACCTGAACCCACGATGATCCCGATGATGATAGCCACGCCCTCGACGAGACCGAGTTCTTTTTTAAGTTTGACGCGATCGTCTCCTGAGCCCCCGCCCCCCGCCTGCCCCGTCAGAGGCTCTGTGGTCTCGCTCACCGTCATCGCCGCTCTCGCCGGCATCGCTGAACTCTGTCACCATTTGTTGACATTAAATCGTGATGTCAATTTAAATCGTGCAATTAAATTGATTAGTTATGGCATAAAATTCTTCAATAATATATTTGGCTTAATTTTAAACATGTTTAATTTTAGGTGTTATTTCATGCAAAATTATATTCCAGGAATCCGAATCCTACCGATACATTGGGAATTATGTAAACGCTATCAACAGATATTATTACATCCAAATACTGCAAAGAGCCATTATTTCGTAAATATATGAAAATTTTTTTGACAGGACAAAATAGGAGGAAAATCGCAAATAAATATAAGCTAATACGAGTAAAGGAAAATTTTCATCATCATCAAAATTTTCAATACATCACAGTAATATACCAATCTGAAGAATGATCACTGCAATATCACCAATCTGAACAATGATCACTGCAATATACCAATCTGAACAATGATCACTGCAATATCACCAATCTGAATCCCCGCCTGCCCCGTCAGAGGCTCTGTGGTCTCGCTCACCGTCATCGCCGCTCTCGCAGGCATCGCTGAACTCTGTCACCATTTGTTGACATTAATTTAAATCGTGTAATAAAATTGAATAGTTAAGGAATATATGTATTCAATAATATATTTAACATAATTTTGAAAAATGTTAAATTGCAGGTTATATTTCATGTAAAACACGTTTCCAGGGATCCGAATCCTACCGATACATTGAGAATTATATAAACGCAATTAATAGAAATTATTACATTCAAATACCGCACAGAGCCATTGTTTCATGGATATACGAATAAAAAATTTGTCGCAGGACCAAATAGGAGGAAATTCACAAAGAAATTCGATAAATACGCCTAAAAGGAAGATTTTCATCAGGTGAATGACAAACAATAAATCAGGGCAATATCACCAATCCGAACAATAATTACTTCGAAATAATCAATGAGCTACTATTGAAGCACTAGCTCACGTAGCGGTCAATCCTGATCGAGGATCTATCACAACTCTTGGCTGAGCTTCTAGAATATTTAGGAAAACAATACTATCATGTTACTTGTAATCATAATAAAATATTGAGTAGTAACAGCATATACACATGAAACAGTATTATCATACAATATTATAATTCACATTGTAGTTGACTGGAATCATGTGATTCATTACAATTTTAGTTTTTAAAATAAATTTGCCAACGACATGATTAATTTTACGACTTCGTTAATTTAAATTAAATAATGACAACTACACACAGTAGAACACAAACAATGAAGTAGTTTGAGAAGAAAAATTATAATCATTCAATAATCTTTTCCATTTCGAACATTCGCGTGTATGTATATCCATAACCTTCAAGAATTGTATGGTCAGAGACCAGGAGGCACTTACAAATTCATCTGTTCCGCTAACAACAATCGAAAAATTCATACGTGATTCGCAGTTATACATTACAATGTACGGCGAACTACAGCATAAGTTTACTACAACTCTCAAGTATACCGCAGTAATTGAGTTACTAATAAAATTACAGTAAATTTTTGCTGCAAATTAACTCTTATGTGGCATCAGAAAGCAATTAAACGCCGTTATTCGATTTGATAAATTGCATACATGTTAAACATCAATAAATTTTACGGTATTCGTTTCTTCCCTACGCCTATCGCAGCTCGAGGATGTAATGCTATAGGTAATATGAATTATCGAGAATATGAATTAAACTTCATCGCAATTTAGACAAAGTCTCCGCATTTCTCTGAGTGTACATGGACGACGCCACCGGAATCACAGGAGCTGCCCGCGTGAAGGTCGCCTCCCTTACACGTACACCAGACTTAAATGAATGAGTCAAATTGTCCAAGTCTAAACACACTTTCTGCTAAGCCCTTTTCTGTCCCACGGAGCACTGATATGCCCTTTTCTGGGAAGGAATCGTGTCAGGATGCCCACACAAGAGCAAAAAATGCACGGCTATTTGGACAGTGCTACGTATTGCTCTGAGTGCATATATATAGGCGCTCTCAAGCGATCGTCAGGGAATTAAATTACGGACCATCCGCGGCGCCTGTTCAGCCCGCGGCGCCCAGTGGGGCCATACTCCAGGTTCTGACCATTTTTCGTTTTTGCTCCATCAATACTTTGGTAAGTCTCTTAATATTATTATCCTCAAGAGGTTGCTCTCAATAGCTGGTTATTTATTCAAATAAGGAGCCAGTTGCCAGTAGTGACTTATTTCCGTTATTTGCTGACTCAGTCATTTCGGTGGCAATCAAGCGTGTGAATGAAGCAATGTCATTGAAGCGCAAAACCAGAAAAACTATCACGCTTCATTTGAAGCATATACACACTACGTACTGTATATAGCAGCTAGTGTTTTAACGAGCCCTTATTGGCGACAATTTCTAGGCTGCGCATAGAAAAATTAACTGCGCGTTCTGTAAACTATATAAGGGAACGTGCGTCTCGCCTTCACCCGAACCAACAGTCATCCGTTGCTGCCTGGAACTCGTGTTGGCCGAAACTCTACTACAATATTAGTATAAACTATACTCTAATATTAAGATTTCCTCTTAAATCTCTTATTAGCGAATCAACTATAAACACATTAACATCAGAACGTGAATATAATATTCTATTCGTTGGCGCTAATGTGAAAATTTCACATAAAAATATAAAATATATTTCAAACAACACTAACTAAAACTAAAAATACTAGACAAAGATGCGTAAAGATAATGTAGTATGAATTTTACGGCAAAATAAATATTGATGCCTAAGAGAGCAAGGTCATCTTTCACAGAGAGGGCGAGATGCCTTTAAAATTGCAAGTCGACGTTTGCAGTTTGAACTGCACGCTTAGAAAGTGACTCGGATAAGGCCAACAGAGGTCATACAGAAGGTTTCAAATGCCACAATAAGAACAAATATTTGCGTATAAGTTAATTTTTATAAAGTAGCAAAAAATTCTCCAATATTGGGTGTACACAAGATAATTATCTGCTAACTTAAACACGCATCATGGAACTCCCCTCACAATTTAACAGCCGGTCAGCGAAATCCCTTAAAAGAAAAACTGGTGTCAGAAAATGACTCTGCAAATGAGTAGGTCGCTTAGAATGCAACATTGCCTAGTATGGAACTGGTCGACGAACTTTGTTAATGTGGGGTAAAATAAGCGTACTACTGTTCATTTTGCTCTTAGAATAAGAAGATATCAATGAATATTTTCGATGGTTGATGGTTCGGTTTAATTTGTTTTGCTCGCATCAACAACATCAATGCTTCATTGAATGTGAAATTTTAATCCTTCCAAACTCGGATGAAAACTATATATTGAAAAAATAAATTAGCGATACTTGAATCGGAATACATCCATCCGCTATTAATGCATTTAACCTAATGCACCTAAGATGGCAAATCGAAGTTAAGGTTAGAGGTTGTTAGGACGAATATGGGCTAACAAATTAGCATTAAGAAGCCAGCATTCTGAGCACGAAGTTACGTACCGTGTAAAAGTTATAGAGGACGAGTGTCTCTGTACAGGCAGAGGAAGTTTTTATTGAGAATGGCCTTCAGTTGGTGTCCTGTGCATACTGCATAGATACTCTACAAGGATCCGACTTCGTATGCATCGCTCAGTGCAGCTTCATTGGCTGTATAGTTATTGACTGCTTTGCTAGCCGACGTTCATGAAATTAACGTATTCTTAATTGGCATCCTCTAAACTTCATTTTGGGCAAGCTTTTTTGTAGTATATTATGTAGAATATTATTGATCTCATTTTCCTCGTGCGTAGTCCTTTCTTGGTCGTTTGCTTGCTTGTTCGAAGAAAGTTCTAGGGCAATTAAAATCAAGTAAAATACATGTATGTGCGTACTCATATGGTTATATAGCCAAGTTTTCATAAGGCCTATACTGGAAAACTACAACTAAATATGACTAAACCAAGTTCCTTCCTTTTGCCCTGCGTACAACTATCGAAGAGTTACAATAAAATCAACAGTAGAACAAACAGTAATAAGCATTAAAAAAGACACCAGAAACGCCGCAAAGAAAAGGAACTATGCTCATACGTATATGCTCGTATATATATACACGATGCATATGAGAAATGCGAGACGCTGACTCAACTTCAATTGAATTTCCGAGTAGCCAATCAAGCGAGTTTATCCTCTCAATTCTCAGTTGAATAAATCGACCGCGTGATAATAAAGAGTCCGCCTCAAACTATGTATAGTATCATAGTATGCCAAAGTATTTAAGTTACGATGGGTTTGGTTGCAACTGTACCTTATGGGTCTCACTCACTGAAAAATGTGCCAAAAATTTATTGCTTTACAGCAGAATGGTTGCAATTTCCTTCTTACATAAAAATTTATCGCCCTTATTCGACATATTAAAACTGATTGATAACTATAATGCAAATGCAAAAATATTGAATGAAATAGTGAATCGCTAGGCTTTTATGTTAAAGTGTTTTTTCTAATGGATTAATCTTTTTATGTCTCTTATACTGTAACTCTGTGTTCCGCGAGTGCTTGTTTTTTTTCGATTTAAGGTTGTTTTGTGCTTAATTCGTCTTTCTAGCACATTTTCTCATTTATGGAAAAAGGCGCTATTGTGCTCGTCCATGTCGTGCTCGTCCATGTCCATCCGTCTGTTCGTCCGTCTGTCTGTCTGTCTGTCTGTCTGTCTGTGACTTCACGTTTTCGTCGATTTTGAGAAATGCGCTCTCTGTCACTCACTGCAGTGAGTACTGAGTTATATTTTTTGAGTTTTAATGTCTGATTTAGAATTGAATTATAAAATGATAGTATTCTTCTTAAGATTGTCGAACTGAGGATGGAGCTGGACTCCGAAACGTTTTCAAGATAGATACGGTGGATTTGCTTAGCATTTTGTTTGCTTTTAAATTCCATGTGAACTTGCGATTTAGGTAGACTGAGAATATAAGAAATTGAGATAGATATGACGATCGACGATGAACAGTAAACATTCAAATTAGGAAATGCTGCTCACAT